ACAGGCTGAGCCACCGAGCCGGGTTGGCAATTGCATTTTCTAACAAGGATTGAAGGGCAGAGAAGATTTGAGAGAAAAGGGATTGAGTAGTAGCACGAAACAGTAAAGTAGAAGAGCTTTTCAATTTATCTTATTTTGTGTATTACAATACAGAACATCAGACAGAGCCACACGCAAACATACGAACAAAAATTATATTCCAAGTCCAAATATAAAACACTATTGAACTGTTTATCAGGATAGGAATTCAAATTACATTTTATCTCTCACTGTCTAGATTTTTTTCTTAGAAATAACCTCACTTTTAACAGTAGATTAAACTTGAAAACCAGTACAGTACTTGATCTCTGTAATGAAAATCTCAAGTAACGCTAAGTAAAAACATTGCTCTCCTTGTTTCTACTTTTTTTTGAAAATGTACTTTTTTTTTTTTTGAGTTGGAGTCTCACTCTGTCGCCCAGACCGGAGTGCAGTGGCCGCTCCCGGCCACCACAGCCTTGACCTGCTGGGCTCCGGCGATCCTTCTGCCTCAGCCTTCTGAGTAGCCGGAATTACAGGCACGCGCTACCACGCCGGCTGATTTTTTGAATTATTGTAGAGATGAGGTCTCGCCAAGTTGCCCAGGCAGGTCACGAACCTGCGGGCTCAGCAATCCACTCACCTCGGCCTCCCAAAGGCACGGGATTAGAGGCTGAACCACCAAACCCGGCTTCTTTTTTTTTTATTTTTTTTTTTGAGTCTCACTCTTTGTTGCCCAGGCTGGAGTCCAGTGGCACGCTCATGGCTACCGCAGCCTGGACCTGCTAGGCTCAGGTGATACTTCTGTCTCAGCCTTCCAAGTAGCTGAAACTACAGGTACATGATACCATGCCTGGCTAATTTTTTAAAAAATTTATTGTAGAGACAGTCTCACCCTGTTGCCCAGGCTGGTCTCGAACTTGCAGGCTCAGGTAATCCTCTCACCTTGGCCTCTCAAAGTGCTGGGTTGAGCCACCGTGCCTGGTCTCACGTGATTTTTTAAAAATCAAAAGGCATAAAAGATTATTCTGTGGGCCGGGCTTGGTGGTTCAGCCTGTAATCCCGCGCCTTTGGGAGGCTGAGGTGAGTGGA